TTTGTGCACGATATGGCATATAGTTCAACATGAAACAAAGGTCTTCCAGACCAAATTAAGTTTACTGGGCTTCCAGACCGTCATATCTTGAAAGACTGTGAATTAACCCAACCGAAATTAGCTGTTGATTTCTAGAGTCTGATTCGTTTCTCTACTGTGTTTTACTTGAATCTATCCAATTTATTTGGATAGCCTTTTTCAGGTATTATTAAAACAAAAGCAGAATCGAACCACGAACCCAGTGGGCAGACTACTTGCATTTTCTATCCATTGTTTTGGAAATCCCACTGTTAATTCCAACCTCGTTCCCAGGCTCTTCCCTCTTGTTGCGCCTGGGAACGAGGTTATGTTAATTCTTCATAAATCTCAGTGACTCATTGATTCGCATTCCTGCAAATGCCTATTGTACTCGTTGCGCAAACACTACATGGTGTCCCAAAAAACCCAGCAAAACCATTGAAATAACGTATTGTTAAAATTTGAATGCCCTAGCACTAAGCTGAACGCAAATATGCGTAAAATATTGACAAGGGTGCATATATTAAATATTGACTTATTAAGAAATTAAAATATCTTTGTAAAGCGCACGATTTTCTGCTCTTGGGAATTTAAAACAGCTTCCTAAACGGTTTCTTTATGCATAAAATTTATTTACGTCAAGCTTTGATGTACGTGTGGGTTCAGCAGAGTGCTGAGGCATTCAAATTCTAACAATACGTTATTTCAATAGTTTTCGGAGATTTTTGGGACACCCTGTATTTAGAAGATTTTCTCTACTGACAGATTATATAGGCATAATTTAAATTTCAAATCTGTTTGAGTCAGTCCTTGTTCGACCTCAATCAAGAAGCTTAGAGCATAGTCTGTCAAGACATGATGATCTGGAAGCCCGGCAAATTTCAAAGCCACAAAATAGAAGACCTTTGTTAGATATTGAACTAGACCTCACCGTGCACAAATCCTTTGTCTCGACTTTATTAAACTTTATTAAGTATTATTGCACGTCTCATCTCAGCTATCTCTTTTGGACGATTACTTCATTATACGAAAATACAATGAGCTCAATCACCGTGGCCGTGCACAAATTTACATAAATTTAGACAAAAACATGATAATACCGGGTGGCGCAAAAAAAAGTTCACGCGTTTGATTTAGTACAGCGAAAAAACTATAAGTGTTACGTTCCTCAAATAAATGTTATCCTATCCAGGAAGGCCTAACTTAAATTTTGATGTATAACACATGCATTTTTGTTTAGTATTACCCAAGATATTGGTAAATCAATTTGAATATGCAATTTCAAAACGTTCCAAAATTAGCTGAAAATAGCCTATTAAATACGAGTAAAGGAATTAACGATATATGAAGAACACAACGGAAGTAAATAACGCGTTTATCATGGAAAATTAAATAACTATATTCTTGCACGTGTGACCATACTATCGAACGAATTAACGTTGGATTTATTTGCTGGTCAAAGTTATGGCAATCAGCAATAATCGCTTCACGAAGCTGTCTCAAATTGTTCGGTTGTTGATCTAATTTAATTCCCTGTAGCTATGGGACATGGAATACTGCGAAGCAATTCTTAATTAAAAGAGCCATCTTTTTCGAAATTTAGTTGCTTTTCAAATGATAATAAAACAAATAAATAAATAAGGAAAATCATTCGTTACACGTTTCAATTGAAATTAAATTCATACAAGCGAATATGTCTGACGAAATTCTAAAATTTATCAAAACAGTTTAATAGGCCATTTTTAGCCAATTTGTCAGATTTTCAAAACTTCGTTCCAAATTTTATTTGGCGATATCCCAGTCAATATTGCACGTAAATAAACATGCTATAGCTCAAAATTTAAGTTAGACTATTATGAATACAGCTACGTTTATTTCAGGGATGTAACCCTTATAGATTGTTCGCTGTACTAAATCAAACAGTTATACTTTTTTTTGCGCCACCCGGTATAATGACTTCTGTTTAGTTTGGAGAGCATCGTAATTTCAGTTGATAGACCACGCTTAACGAATTACAATTAGAAGATGCTAGAATTGTTCGTTCTGCCTAAGAATTCTATCTGGGATTTCAAGGATAAAGTACAAGTTAGATTGAAACAATTTTCAAGATATAGTATATATTAAGGTAAGAAATTGTTGAAAAGCTGTATTTATTTGTCTTATACAGGCCGTTTCAAATTAAGTGCCTGTAATTGAATGTGTTCATATTTTATTTAGCCCAGCTATAACAAGGAAACTCACCAGTCTAGAGTGAGATCTGCATGCTTTTTGTTAACACATATAAAATCCAATTTGTGTTCATATGATTCATTATTTGTGTTGATTATTTGTGTTCATTTGCGGATTTTGACCTATAATAGAGACCTTAAGATGTAGGACGGCAAAGCGCGACGACGACGGCCAAACCAAATTCATTCAAATAATTAATGATTGGAAAGAAAGCTTATCGTATGTTTTACTTCATTACGACGCTATCAGTGTTGCATGAAAACATTCAATAAGGCAATGTTAACAGAGCGTTTGCACTCATTCCCCTGGGGCCAGCTCAACAAAAGCCATGGCGGCCTTGTTGGTGTTCTACAGTACAAAAAGGCTAGTCTTTGAAATTCAAATTAGTCATATTGTATTGAATTTATAATTACTGCTAATCAATTAGCGAGCTGTAAAACAAAAGATTTTCTACTTATGGGACATGTACAGACAACTCAATGAAATACCCTGTACAGTACAAGCAGCATTAAAATGAAGTTATAATTGATCTCTTTTGTAAATAAGACATGTTTTTGTCACGTATACAGGGTGTCCCCAAAAAAAGTGACACTATAGAAATTATCTCATTGTTCCTAAGACGCTCTTAAACGCGCGTGATTACACGCCTGGGAATTTAATGAACTTGTATTTACATTTAAGCATTTTAAAACGTTTTCGCTTTGTCCAAATATTTTAACGCCTGAGTCAAGCAAAACGATTACACTAATAAACGGTTTGCTTTTTTATTTTAAATTCCAGAAGCAGAAGTTTATGCACCTGTGGGATCAACTTAGTGCTAGGGCATTCAAATTATAACAATGGGATAATTTCTACAGGGTGTCTCAAAAAAACCCAAAATCATTGAAATTGACGTATTGTTCGATATTCAATGCCCTAGCACTAAGTTAATCCCACGAGTGCATAAAAGATTGACATAACTGCTATAATTAATGGTAATACTCAGCGTAAACTTGTTATGTCAGGCATAAAGTACTAAACCCACGAATGCATATTACGCATATTACAATTTACGAAGCATTTTTAAATTCCCATGAGCAAACAAACGTTCACTTTACAAAGATATTTTAATGTTTTAAAACAAATTAATCACCCTGTCAAAATCCTTTGTGTTACGGCATTGAAATTCGAACAATACGTTATTTCAATGATTTTGGGGTTTTTTGAGACACCCTGTAGTCTTCGGTTGACTAATTGACGTTAATTAGTTATGTGTGGATGTCCCAACAAAAAGTGATACTATACAGGGTGTCCCAAAAAAAAGTGATACTATAGAAATTATCCTATTGTTATAATTCGAATGCCCTAGCATTAAGTTGATCCCACAGGTGTATATACTTGTGCTTCTGGAATTTAAAATAAAAAAGCAAACCGTTTATTAGTGTAATCGTTTTGCTTGACTCGGGCGTTAAAATATTTGGACAAAGCGAAAACGTTTTAAAATGCTTAAATGTAAATACAAGTTCATTAATTAAATTCCCAGGCGTGTAATCACGCGCGTTTAAGAGCGGCTTAAGAACAATGAGATAATTTCTATAGTGTCACTTTTTTTTGGGACACCCTGTACAGTACAGGGTGTCTCAAAAAAACCCAAAATCATTGAAATTGACGTATTGTTCGATATTCAATGCCCTAGCACTAAGTTAATCCCACGAGTGCATAAAAGATTGACATAACTGCTATAATGAATGGTAATACTCAG